CAACTTAACATTACTGCAATATCTAACTGCTTAAGCTAGCTAGCTCGTTACAGATCTATTTATTCAGAACAGCTTAGATCCTTTCAGAATACATTATACCTAATACATTGTAGATATCACAGAGCTGGTTAATCTCGAAGCATACCTACTAGAGTAGTCCATACTTATTTTACAGATTTATCTAGCTTAGACTCTTGTAGATATTTGTACAACCCTAGTTCCTACTGTGACTCTCCACCAGTTTTCTGTATTCTATAATCTTGGATATTTCACAAAGCAGATCCTCATAATCTAGTTAGCCACTAAGCCAGGTTAGTGTTACTGATCCTCTTTGTGAACTGGATTTATGCGTACTTGATTCAATCTGCATCTTTTGATGATAGTTTCCTTTCTGAATTAAGTGTTAGCTAGTATAATCATTAAAGGCTATACTACTTTACCAATTCAAGATTTCTACTATGTAGATCTCCTGTTCATAGATCCTATCAAGATTTATTTGTATAATATTACGTCTCACCAAATGCCTTGTTACACTTCTAATATCCAGATGATATTAGTGCAATGTGATTTATGGGGTTACAACTCCAGAAATGAACAGGATTTACTGTAAGTTAGATACAAAGGTTCAGGTAATTATTCAAATTCGTTGACAGTAGGATTTGAACCCTAGACTTCTTGCATAGCAGTCTGGCAACCTAACCACTACACTAAGATTGCCAGATCTATTTTCTTTCTTTCTATTTAGTGTTTTTTAAGTTAGTTCTTAATAAAAATCTTGTAAAAAACTCTATTTTTCCTTAGCTCTGAAAATAGTTCAAATAATCTATGAAAAGTTGTGTTTTAAATTCTGTTTTGGAAGAGTTGACATTTTTGATTATTTATTATTATTTTTTTATATATATTATTTTTTGTTATATATTTTTTTTCTTTTTTTTTTATGTTATTAAGGCTACTTCCTTGGCTAATTAGATTTTATTAGTTTATTATTACAAAGTTATCACAAGAATAGACTCCTAAGATTTTACAATTACATGATAAGTATACAATAAGTTATATATACAACTTTAGTTATTATTTAATTTAAGTAGTCTGTTATATAGATGATTAACTATCTGTTAGTTCTATACTATGCTACTATATCTGCAACTTGCTTGTGAGTTACTTATTTAAACATTCTGATCATTAACTCTTTCTCTCATCTCAAATTAATATCACTACTATATCTGACTGTTTAGGCTTGTTAACTTGTCTATAAATCTATTTACTACATAACTTAAGTCCTCTTAGGATATGTATTATCTAATATATTATGAATACACAGAGCTCTAGTTAATTTTAGAAGTAATTCTTACTAGAGTGGTTATATACTCATTTTACAGATTTATCTAAATTGAACCTTTGTCAATATTCATATAAATTCAGTTCCTGCTGTAACTCTTTATCAGATATAGTTCTTCAAGATTTTAACCAGATATTTTACAAAGTAGATCTTCTTAATCTAGTTAGCTGCCAAGTTAAGTTAGTATTGTTACTAATACAAGACACTAGTTTGCTTTATATAGTAAACTTACTAACATCTACTTGATTTATATCTTTTGTATTCAAGTTTTTTACTAGATCAAATATTAATTAGTATAACTATTAAAATTTGTATTACTTAATCAAACTCAGGATTTCTACTATGCAAATCCTCTGCTTATAGATCCTATCTTGATTTATTCATGTAATATAACTTGAACATTGCATTACTCTTCTAATGTCTAATTGACATTAGTACAATATGATTTATAGAGTTGTAATTCTAAAAACAAATAAAGTTTACTATAAGTTAAGTACAAAAGTCTAAGTAATTATTCAAATTTGTTAACAGTAAAATTTGAACTTCAAACCTTTTGCATAGTAGTTTAGCAACCTAACTACTATACTAAGATTGCCAAATCTATATTTTTTATATATATATATATTTAAGTTATTATTTTTAGTTTAAATAGTTAAATTTTAAATTTTTTTTTTTTAATTTATTTATTCTAGCTTTTAGTATTTAAAAAATAGCTTTTTTTATAATTAAAGATCTTTTCTTTGTTTAAATCTAATCTAGCGAAGATTTCTTTGTTTTAGCTAAAAACTATTTCTCTAATTAGTTTCAATTTTTTTGTATTTTCTATATTTTTGAAAGATTTTTTTTTTTTTAGAAATATTTTTGTTTTAATAAACTTTTATTTAGCTTTGTTTGCCTTGTTATTTGTATTTATTTTCAGATTTTAATTTTTTTTAAGAACTCAAATATTTTAAGAAAGTTTATATAGATAAAATATTATCTATTAAAACAGCTTTTTTTGCAATTTTTTAAAAATGAATTTTTATTGAATTAATATAAATTTTAATATGATTAATATTTTCAATTATAAATAAAAGTCGATTTGCATAATAAAAATCAAAACTTTCTATCTTTATAAAATTTAATTTTGAATTTGAAATTTTAAAATTTGAAACTAATTTGAAATTTGAAATTAATTTAGGATTTGAAATCAATTTGGGATTTGAAATAATTAAGATTTGGGATTTAGATTTTCGAAAATTTAATTTTGACAACTAATAGTTATAAATTTGATTTACAATTACTATAATAATAAAAATTTATTATTACTCTATTTGAAATCATATTACATAACACCAAATAGCACAATACTAACTCTTATTTTACTAGTACAATTTTATTTTTTTTAAAAAATATACAAAAGATTGCTATACATTGATTTGTTTCTAGTGTATGTGAAGTACATACGTCTGTTCATAAATATTTATTATTCTAAAAAATTATACACAATAATTTATATAAATTAATCTTTAATTAATTTATAATTGCACGAAAAAGAACTATTATAATATTCCTGAAAATAATATCAAAATTTCGAATTTAACCTTTCAAATTACAAAAATAAAGAATAAAATCCAACTTAAAATTAGAACAACAACAAAAGTTATAATATAGACCCAATTTCGTCTTGATGGGCGGTTTAATGTTTCAAGACCATAATTGCTTAAATTCTCTCGCTCTTGCTCATTATCATGTTTTCTTCGCATATGATCATAATATTCATTTCTTTCATTTTCATTCATGTCTAATACTCCATCATACCATTTTTTTGCTACCAATGACAACCACACAGCAACTATAATCGCTGTAGTACAAATAACCAAATACAATTGCATCACTAGCCTGTATTGACCACCATCTAAATCTTGCAATATACCAATGATGATGTCACACAAGGTTGAGCCAATATTAGAGCATGATTTTACAATTCCTAATCCTGTACCAACATAATCTAATGGTAATAGAATCGGAATTGATGAAACTAGACATACAGGCCCAAATGAAAGAGATATTGAAAATAACAACATCCCTATAATTGAAGAGATTTTAGTAAATCCGAGAAGATACATTGAAAAAGTCAGGAAAACCGCAGAACATATCACTAATTATTAAGTATAAATTCGAAATTATATTAGGATTAAAAGAATGAAATAAGTTAGAAGCTGAACGTCCAAGACCAATAAAGTGTGTTATACCGCGCGTGACTTACATGTGGTGGAACGTCTGCCAAATCTGTCCAAAAAATAACCAAGAAAAGGAGCTATGAATATTGGTAATAATTGTGCAAGACTTGAACGTTTACCAGCCTCATCATTCGTGAGACCCCATCGGATTTTTAGCAATTCTCTATTTATAAGCGATAAAAATTATCATTCATTTCAAATTGAAAAAAAATAATTGTTGTGTCTCAGATATCAACTGGCCAAAATTATAATTAAGGGTCAGTTTATAGTGCTAGGCAAATAATAAAAACCTGAGTAAATACGTACGCGTGTATATGTAAAAATGAAGTCCAAGAGCTGCCAAATTCAAATTCGAGTAACACGATAATCCAAAAAATTGCTGGAAGATATAATAATTTTCTAGGACTAAATGTTTTTTTTTGTTTAAGTTTTAGGAGCTCTTGCTCTGAGAGATTTTCATTAATTATTTTCATAACAAATATATAAAATACGTTGACCAATAAGGAAATCACACATAGAAATGCTGCAAACTAGACATAAAATAGTAATATAATAGATATCGAACAAAGACAGTCTATCAAAAAAAAAAAAATTTTATTTGCTTACCCAAAATGCCCAACCGTAAAAACCAGTAGCATCCTTTATTTGAACAACCGTCAAATTTGCCAAGAATGACGACTTTTATAAAAATAAATAATCGACGATTATATTAAACATCATCTAGATACTATTTTCTTCATAAAACTTTTACATTAATATATTCATACCAGTCTTGACGCAGCAATTTGTACTCCAATTACGATCGACAGTCCTTTCCCTTTAAACCAATGACTAAGAATAGTAGTTTGAATTGTAACGATAGTTCCACTTCCGATGCCATAAAGTATTCTACCGAATACCATCACGGGAAATGATACCAAATTAGTAGACAATGCTACCAGAATATTTCCAGCAGCAATAAGTGATGTGGACAGGATTGATCCAGTTGATGTTCCAAACGTGTCAATAAAGACACCACCAAGAATTGGTAGAATTGTGTTAACTAATGATACAGAGGATTGTATTACTCCATATTGAGAATTAGAGATTTCTAATTCCTAAAATTATAAGTAAACGAATAATCAGTTATAGAAGATAGAAATTAATCAGAAAAAATGAACGATCAAAAATTATGATGTTCGTGAGTTACCTCTTTAATAGTTGATTTCAAAGCTCCTAATGTATGACCAGCATAATGACTTCCAACTACATTGGACCAAAAATATTGAAAGCTATTAAAATGAAGTCATTTTTGACTCATTATTTTATTCTTTCCCTGAGCGTCTGATATTGATCGACTTACCTGCCAAAGACAATGCACACAATAATGCAATAACTTTATACCTCCATGGTCGATCTATCTGTTCATCTGCGACATCAAATTTATTTTCGTCATCTTCAAGTAGCGTATTACTTTCATTACTCTCAGGCCTATAAGTTCCGTCTGCTAGATCTACTGACGAAGGAAGAGCAACATATCCCGGTTCGTTTGTAGAAAAATGATTATTTCCTGATGAATAAAATGGGGTTGAAGACATTTTGTTTTTCGATTTAAGAGACGAAGTGGACTTTATATGTTTTTAATAAAAAATCTGATAAAAAAAAAAAAAAGCGTCAGTCATCCTAAATTAGTTAAATTAAAACTTTATATGAAATTCTGACAAAATTATGTTCCAATGTGGTAAAATCTGATAACTCAAAAAGGGATATCAGATCCGGTTATCAGATTTCATTTTTAATGCTTTCTATAAAGCGGAAAGGTAAAGAAAAAGAAATCTATCTCAGATAAGGTCTTACCCTATTCTTATCAGTATGACGGATGATTTCGGATATGATAAAAGATACTGTAAAATGTTAAATGCAAGGCGCAAATAGAATTGAAATGATAACGATATAATGGAAGCCTTTGAACCCATATTTTAAAAACCTTAAAAAAATATCGGCTGATTTTTGACTAGACTAACCGAAAATTTATTAACTGTTAAATTTAATAACGATAACGATAACTTACGCTGTAATATAAATATCAGATATCAGCTGATATATATTTAACTTATATATCATACAGTACTAACTTAATTTAACGTTAACATAGCACAATGTGAAGCAGGAACACGGAAAAATAGACAAAAATATATCGATTTAGTCAAAAATACGATTTTATATCGATTTTGGCCAATTGGCCAAATTTATAATACCTAGCTCGAATTATGCTTTACACTATTTTTAATTCTGGCCAAAATATTAATGTTACATAGTGTTCCGCAAAACCGAACCGAAACCCGAACCCGAACCCGCCTTTCGGGTCGATTTTCGGTTCACGATTTTTAGAACTGACCGATTCCGGGTCTTAGATGACAAGTACCCGATTGATTCGCATAAACCTGCATCAGGGACTCTAAAAAATTTCAAAAGGATTAGAAAACAATAAATCGCAATTTTTAGTAAATCTTGCTCTAAAAAAAACAATTTTACGACTTTTTCATACATAGTAGGTTAAATAATAAATTGGATTGGCTAGCTATTTTAGTAATTCGCATAAGTTTGTGTAACTTATTAATCTACCAGTATATAAAAAATTTTATATGCGAGACAAATTTTAATCATATTGTCAATTTTAAAGGATGAATTTTAATATTTTAAATACATAGTTGTTTTGGTGTTGTAACGAACAAGCAACAAGATAATCAGCGTTGTAACAAACAAGCAACAAGATAATTGGTGTTGTAACAAGATAAAACTGCTAAATTTCAGTCTTTTTGAAAAAAAAAGTATGATATTATATTTGACTTTTGATATCTTATAGTATAAATATTATAACTTGATTTTCTTTTTATTAAATATGCTAGCTTGTTTTAAATGCTATTGCAACAGGTCATGCAAATAAATTTCTGAAAAATTTTTTTGTGCCGATTTTATAATAAACCTATTAATTATGATATAAAGTCAATCATTACATTTACATAAATAGTTCTACGTATACATTTTTTTTTTTTTTTTTTTTTTTTTTTTTTATTAAGGTGGCTTCCTTTGCTAATTAGATTTTATTAATTTGTTATTACGAAGCTATCATGTGAGTAGTCTCCTAAGGTTTTACAGTTACATGATGAGTATACAACAAGTCAAATGTACAACTTTAGTCATTGTCTAATTTAAGTAGTCCGCCATACAGACGATCGACCATCTGTTGGTTCTATATATGCTGCTATATCTGCAACCCGCCTGTGAGTTACCTATTTAAATACTCTGATCATTAACCCTTCCTCCCATCCTAAACTAACGTCACCACTATGGCTGACCGCTTAAGCCAGCCGGCTCACTCGTGCATCTATTTACCGCACAGCTTAGGACCTCTCGGGATGCATATGCCTAACATATTGTGAGCTACAGAGCTTTAGTTAACCTCAGAAGCATACCTACTAGAGCAGTTCATACCCATTTCACAGATTTACTTAGCTAAGACCCTTGTGGATGTTCATGCAACCACAGTTCCTACCGTGGCTCTCCACCAGTGTCGTTTACAGATCTCACTGACGCCTATCACGAGTTAGATCCTCCCAATCTAGTTAGCTGCTAAGCCAAGTTGGTGTTACCATAATATACAGTGATCACCACTGTAATACAAACTTATGCGTACCTAACCTGATTAAAGTCTTTGAGCACTGTGTCCTTCTGGATCAAGCGTTATCTGATGTGACCATTGAAAGCTGTACTACTTCACCCACTCGGGGTTTCTACCATACAGGTCCTCTGCCTATAGATTCTATCAAGAATTATTCGTGTAATGTTACATCTCTCCAAACATTGCATCACACTTCTAATATTCGAATAATATTGGTGCAATGTGATTTACAGAGTTACAACCCCAGAAACGGACAGAGTTTACCGTAAGTTGGGTACAAAGGTTTGGGTAATTATTCAAATTCATCAACAGTGGGATTTGAACCCCAAACCTCTTGCATGGCAGTCTGACAACCTAACCACTACACTAAGATCGCCAGACCTTTTCTACGTATACATTTCAATCACAATAAAAAACATTTTTTAAAAACATTTTTTGCCTTTACTCAAAACAATATTTGTATAATAGAATCACAATTTTTTAGGGTTCCTGACCTGCATATATTAATTACCTGACCTTGAACGAATAGAATATTAGTGATCGATATAATAGAACTCAAAAAATTTTTTAGAAATTCTTTTGCACGTTAGATATATATCTTTTCATCTGTAAGATTTTAACTAAGATTTTAACAGTTGCTTTACTATCCAAGAGCAATAGAACTGTTATAAAATAAGTTTTAATTATTTTATCTTATTATTTTATTTTATTATTTTTATTATTAGTATTTTTATAAATAGTTAGTTTCTTGA